AGATCCTGTCTCAAATTTTTAAAAATAGCTACAATGTATTGAGCCCTTAGAACATGCCAAATATCCAGTATGGTAATTCGCTTTCTTAATTAATGCACAGTAGTATCATTTGGAGAATTTAACCTTCACTATTTCCATTGTAAAATGGGCCAAATTGAGGGTGAGAGTAGTGAGTGAGTTAACAAAGGCTATTCGAGTAGAAAGTGGACCAGTGCAAATCGAGCCAACCTTCCTTAACTGGGAAGTCACATTACCAACCTGACACCTTTTCTACTAATTTCCTAAATTGTGTGTTACATCTGCAACCACTTTTGTTGTACAACTGTCATGTGCAGTGCCTTCAGTAGCTGTACAATATCTCACTCACTAGGTAGGAGGCAGTAGTGTGCTGGTAATTGTTTAACAATAAACCCTGTCCTCTCCCAAGAAAGCTTTGCATTTGGTGATTTCTGTGGTGTAAATTCTCCCACGATGGCTTAAAAGGCTCAAGGTAAAAAGACATGGGCCAAACATGCATTTAAGAAAATGTTACTATTCAGATCTTGTGGACTGGCTAGACAGTTCCTACACACCACGGGTAGGAGATAAACAATAAATATTAATTTGAAAGAAAAGCCTACCCACAGGAGAGTAGTTTGGAATTCCTTTGTTGAAAATCAGAATCACAAAGACTAAAACAAAATGCATTTTATCACTCTCTACATTCTACACCTATGAATAGGAAAGTAGAAGACAGTGCAAGAAAAACCCGATTCCTCCTGCCTTGATTTGGCAAGTGAGATTTTTATCTGCCACCGGAAAGAGTTTCCAATTGAGTTTGCTCATTGAAAAGTGAATCTCTTTGAACAGGATGCACACAAATGGCTTCTTAAAAACAAAGAGGCACAGCACCTTAGATACCTATATAAGTCCGGGATAGCTTTGCTAATTGAGAATTTAGGAGACCAAACTCCTGGCTGCAGCAGCACCTGCGGAATTGTTTTACAGCCTGAAAGCCATTAGACAATATGGACCTTCTAAGAATGAGCAGGAATCTTTGCTGTGGGGGTGGGGAAACTGCCTTCCAAGTACAAATTCTAACGTGGAACCGTCAAAGAATAATTCATGGCAGAGATGCAACATATGCTCTCGTGATAGAGTGAGAGTTAGAGGACACAGAGAGCAAGTAAGCAGCAGAACCTCCGTGAGTTACAGCACCTCATTGCCATTATAAAACATCTTTATTGAGAGGGAAAATGCAATATTTTGGTAGAGGGAGATGAAGTAGGTAATCTGGATCGCTCACTTATGGTAGAGTGTGTAATTTTACAGCTGGGATATGCTCGTCTGCTTGGTGTCTTCCCTAACTCACAGCCTATCCGGAGCAGGCTTCAAGGATACAGTTTAATCCATAAGACAATCAAGGTGCTTAGGTAGAACTGGGGAAATGGAGAATTACATGAAAAAGAAACCTTTATTTTCTGCAAGAACTTCTCAAGTGCTATCCTTTCCATCCTTTTTCCTTTTAAAGTTAATTTGATTCGTGCCACTTTAGGAAAGCTGTTAGCGGCCATTGTGTGTGTGTGTGTGTTTGTGTGTGTGTGTGTGTGATTTCTCTGGACAGTTACATTCACCCACCCATATAAAATACAGTAACTTTCTTTACTGTTATAATTTGGGAGTTGCTGCTATTTTCTTAGTAAAGTCTTAATTCTAAAGACCCCGAAAGAGTCAGGGACAGTAGCCTGGTGCCTTTGGACCATTCAGGCTTACAGCAAGTGGCTATCTGCTTTGCTTAACCAAAATAGGGCAGCAGCAAGGGTGGTTTCTAAAGTTGTGATAAAGACAGGCAGAAACAGTCAATCGTAATCTTCAGAACCAAAGAGAAATGGACCATACACGTTCTGTAGTAAGGTTAATGTGGTGAGTTTGTTTGTTTCTTTGTTCGCTTGTTTCTCTAGGAGCAGAAGGAAATTCATGAACTCGCCAAAAAGAACTTTGGGGTTTCTGTGTATTTTTTATTTCTGTGAGTGTTTTATTTCTGTATATTTTTATTTCTTTCTAGTGAAAGGACAAGTTAAAGGAATTGAGCTCTTTAATTGCTTGGCAAATCAGAACATCAAACAAAGTAACATAAGGACATTTTTTAACCGAGGATAGGAATCTCAAAGAATGGAGATGAGATTCAAAGCTCTTTGCTGAAAATATACAATAGTTTTAAATCTCTATTTTTATCTTCTCATTTTAATAATAAAGAATATAATTTATCTATTGAAACATTTAAATCAGAATTCGTATATTTGTTTCTTTGTTAAACGACTTGCTAGGTTTTCTGAACCGTTTCTTTAAAATATTTTGAATTTCAATGACGTGTTGAGGAATTTCTAAAAGGTGAAGTGAATCATCGTTTTAGTGTTTTCAGGGGCTTGACTCTAGATTGTCATTATTTCTTTCTTATAAATTTAATCAGTGAAAAAAAATCATAAAAAATAACCGTAATTCCTTACCACTCTTATAGCATCTATGTTTAAGAAAAAAAAACGTTTCAAGGGATACTTCGAGTTGATAATATCGCTGGTAAGTCTTCTTTATTTGTTATTGTCTTTTAAAAGCACGGAAATGTCTATCCTATTTGGAGTTGTTTTCAGGAAATATGCACTCTTTTCTCTTTCTCACTACCTCCTGGCTACAGTCACTTTCTCTGCTATTTGTGTATCTACATTATTCATGCTTACAAGCCCAGCTGTAAAATAAAAATAGAGTGAATGAATGAGTTCTAAGGATCAACATAAAAATACGGCCTGAACTCCAGCCAAACCTTGAATCTAACTTATTTTACATAGTTCCTCTCATTCTTTCTTTCGTGAAGAATTCTATTAGCCAATCTACTTTTATTTTAAAAACCTGTTTATCTGAAATTAAGCTTTGTGCCCAGGACTCTTAATTAAAATTATGAAATCTACAATATTCCATATCTTCCATATATCACTAGAATCCCTGTGAAGTCTGGAAAATTTAAAAATCAATCCAAGTCGAGGAAAGGGTTCAGTTTCACATATCTCTTTCTGAGATTCAGATATTCTGATTTTTGTGCACACATCTATGTCCTCACCAGTGTGAAAAGATGTACACAATTTTTTAAGCTTTAACAAATATTAATACACAGTGGCCCAACGTCACTATGCTAATATTCTGAGAGGCACAGTCCTCTGAGACTGTCTCAGGCTGTGCTGCTGCTTCTTGTGATGCTGGTAAATTGAAAAGCAACACCACTGACACGGTAAAAAAAAAAAGCATGGTCAAGTTTACATCAGACTTCATTGTTCCTGCTACAGTGCATTTCTTTCCACAGGTACTAGTGACTGATCTGGATGATCTTTTTCACTAAGGGTAAAAAAATTTTTTTTAACTCATTTTGTCAGCTCCAGAATTTCACGAGTATAAAACAGGGAATTATATATGTGACAGTACTCAACACTGGGACTAAGCCTGGAATGAAAAACATATAGTTTGCTGGCAATTTAAGCCTTTTGTAAATTTTCCTCTCAAGCTGATGATCCCCAACCCTCAGCTTCCTAGCTTTCTGCCGTCAATTGTAGCGAAATCATTGTCAATTAATCAACTGGAAGAGCAAACACCTGCCCAATTTATTATTATTTTTTTGCAAGTAATTAGAGGGTCCAATAAAGCAGCAGGAGTAGATACATTTTCAGGTAAAAGCATGTGTCAAAACCTGCATGTTTCTAAGCAATCTCACACCACAAAGTGAGAGAGAGACACACACTCACAGAGAGACAGAGAGGAAAAAGAATATATCTTTTTTGACAACAAAAAGCCACAAACATTTTCTGAAATGTGGAACAAAGAGGTTTGTCAAGTAACGATCTTTATTGCTTAGGATCCCAGCACCTGCAAGCATATGTAAAATGTTCAAAGCAACATATGTGAGAGATATATGTAGGTCACTGTTGTGTAGATCCTGGCGCTACTACTGGCCTGGGTATTGACAATGAGGTGCAGACAAGATACCAATTGTATGTGTATTTAGACAGCCAGACAACAGAGATGGACTCTAAACTTTGTTTCTTCTCTACTGAGAGAGGGAGAGAGAGAGAGAGAAGGAAGCAGCCGGGTGGCAGAAGCCTGTGTACACTTGCACAAAACAGGTGGTGTTCTAGTTAGGATGCCATATTTGCTATTTAGGGTTCCTGTGATCTCTGGAAGGATGGGTAAGCTATAGGGTGCGTAGGATGAAGCTACACAAAGCATCCATAGCTCTCCAAGCCTACAGGCTCTGTGCGACCTGGCACTGCACACACCGAGAAGGGTTATCTCAGCAAGCCTGCTACAGCGTCTCTGCGAAATTTGGGTTACCACATTTAGCTGTGGGATTACAGCACATAATACCACAGATAGGAGATAATGCCTCTAGCATGTGGCTGGGGCAGTGTAAGCCTCACAAGAACAGTCATGGTAGCTTTGGGGGTGAGGGGAGACAGAGGTGAGGCAGGACGTGGAATTGAGTACTAGAACGTGGCTTGTGGCATGCCCTCTCCCACACCCCGTCCCCCCAGCCACACGAGAAACCAAAACAAAGCTGTGAAATATCATTCCGTGCCTCCATCCATCTTTCTGAGGCAGACGGCAATAAATCAGAATATATTTTCCTCAACAGGAATCCAACGGCACATAGAAAGGGCAGACTTTTTTTCTCATTTCTTAACTGTCCTTTTGGAGGCTGAAATAATATAATTTGAAGTGTTCTAGCCAAAGATACCACGTGAATTTTTCATAGTGATTCAGTGCTTATTGCTTCTAGTGGCCAGATACTCTGAAGATATTTATGAAACAAGTCGCACCTCTTGGCATCGCAGGCTGTTTCTCCCCATGTTAGTGAGCTCCGCTTCTCACTGTGTTCCCACTCGGTAACCTATGTCTGTGGGCACCAACTCTCCACCAGGATTGCAATTATTACGTACTGCAAACATGAACTGATAAAAAACTAACCTCTGCAACACTCGGGCGAGCCCTGGATCAATCTGAATAATGTTGCACTGCAGCGATACTTCTGCTCGTCCAGCTGTCTCCGAGTTGGTATCACGTTTTCAGTATCTCAGGGTTTCCTTCTGATGTATAGAGATCATTTGAATATCAGATCATAAGTGACATTCACATGTTTCCCAATTTTCTCCTAAGAAACTATTGCTTATTCTAACCTTTGCCCTACCAATGAGTTCAATACAAAGAGACATGTTTTGGAGAATTGTCAGTGTATTACCCTTTTTTAATCTCCCCTCTTCTCAAGTGTAACACTATTTGATCTTGGAAAGTACCACACTGACACTCATGACATGTAGGGACAGAAGTTGTCCAGAACATCTTAAAATGTATTCTGAAGTGCATCTGATATGGTGGTTATTAATGACACCCTCAAATTATTTTCAGATCTTTGCCCTTGGGGCACAAGTTAAGATTACACTTCCTGTCTCCTGTGTTTAGATGAAACCATGAAATTAGTTTGGCACCATTAGTTGTGATCAGGAGTGCAGTGAGTGAGACACCTCTGATCCAGAGCATTCAGCAGTCGAAATTCGGGTGAGACTTCAAAAAAGTATCTGTTTTCCCTCTGGCTCTCTTCTCAGGCTGGCTTTTCCTTCAGGTTTGGTCCTAAGTGGCTGAGGTGAACTCTTGCTGACCCCTCAGGCCATGGTGGACACGGAGCATGCATCAATGAGAGAGAAATCATCACTGAAAAAGGCCAGTAAGACCTGGGAGGCTCTTTGTCATCTGGGTGTAACCTAGCCTCCTCTTTCTGTTGAACTACTTAATTGGGACTGCAATAAATGTGTTTTGCAAAAAAGGATGCAAAGGTAAACAAGTATGGGCAAAACTAGTTTGGGCAAAATTAAATAGATTTGGATCCATTAATGGTTTGTGAGCAATCTGCTTAAAGAAATAAAAATATTCCAAATAGGGTTCTTTCTATTTGAAGACTGTCTCAAAGAACTAGTGTACCAAGGAATGCTCGTTGGCTTCCCACCACCTCATCAGGCTTTGTGCTCAGGGCAGGCTATCAGAAGAGTCCTCCGGCTTCCTGGGTAACACCGGCACAGGGCACAGGGCTGGGGCAGTGTTCCTTTGTTCTTCTTATCCGTCGGCCTGAGGATGTTGGCAGATTTGCCTCTCTTCAACATTAGCTAGTTTCAAAGAAAGTATTCTCTAGAAGGTGACTCTTTTTTTTTTTTTGATAAAGGTAGACTTTGACATTTTTCTGGCTCACTAATTTCTTTTCTTTTTCTCATTAAAAAATACACTTCATTTATGAGAAAAATGTATTACCATACGTGCTACAAATAGAAGCCAACACACCAAAGAAAGTAACTGCTGCTAAAAGCTGCCTAATTGAAATGTAATTCATTAGTTTCTAACAGAATTCTGTCTACTCTCTCCCTCTCCCTCTCTCTCTCTCTCTCTCTCTCTCTCTTTATCTCTCCCTTTACACACACACACACACACACACACACACACACACACACACACACACACACACACAGATTTTTGTCTCCCACCTTTCTGTTCCCTCTCTCTCTCTCTATCTCTCCCTCTACACACACACACACACACACACACACACACACACACACACACACACTTGCATACACATACAGAATTTTGTCCTTACAACCTTTCTGAAAGTTGCTTCTTTATCTGGCAGTGTTTTTGCTACATTTGAGAAACTGAAAAAAAATCTATTGTATTGAAAGCCGAAGACTCACTATGTCAGTAACTTTTTTTTTTCCATGACTATTTTCTAATGTGCAGTGATTGTATGTATAGATACCTATCTAACCAAGCTTTGTGTCTGTTGATGGTATGCTATATTTGGAGAAGGTCATCGGAATTTAATTCTCAAAATGTTACACCTGATGCAAATGGACGCCACTCTATTTCTAGAGATTCTAGTTTCCTTTTTCAAAGTCCTCCTGCGTTTCTGGAGCTAATTTGGTCTGAAAAGTAATCAGTTAGGTGAAAAACCCAGAGTATTTCCAAGCCTAAGGCCGCAGGTAGCTGGGATAAAAGTAAATCCCATTCTGCTAAGAGGAAAAGGAGGAGGGAAACGATGAGTAGAGAAAAATTAAAAAGGAAAAATCTGAAATAAAAAGGAGGAATAAAAGAAGAAAGGGAAAGAAAGATGGAGGAAAAAACAAGAAAAAAAGGAAATTCTGCTCATGGACTCATTTACGTTCCGAATTGACACATGAGCAGCCCAGATCTTATCAGATAATACACACATTTAGAAATTCAGTCTGCACGTGTCTGTGTTCCTGCAGCCCATTCTGCCTAGCTAAAACAACATCTTTTTTTTTCCCCAAAAAATCTGTTTCCTTCTTACATAGTCCAAATGTTAGAATGTGGTTTGAATTCTTTTTTGAACATTAATTTAAACAGTATGGGAATAGATCAGCCCTTATAAGTCTAAATAAAACTTCCTTCAACATATATAATGCGCTGTGCTTATTTGGAGGCTAATGGATTTGGAAAGAAAAAAGTGGGAAAGAGTTAAATACAGAGTAGAGTCAGCTTCTTGGAGGATTTTTTTTTCCTATAAAAATTTAATTGCTGCTTTTTCTTCATTCTAACCTATTTAGCAGAAATTTATAACAAAGCTTTAAACTGATTTTCATATCAGCATTCCAAATGTTCGGATATTTTGACCTGAACAGAAAAATGCAAATAACACAGTGCCACTTAGTGGAAATGGGGGAAAAAAAATCATTGTAGATGAGGAAGAAAATCAACAGGCATCCAAATCGTTGTCTGGAATTATAGATACAAGTCATGTTTGACATTCAGATGCTATGTCTTTTGATGGCTTTCAATCACATTAAACTCCTACTGCCACAATAATAAGTAAATTGTGTCACAATCTATCACAACAAACATTTCCAAAAAGAGCAGAGGAATCCATTCTATGCTGATAGTGTAGAAACATTATGAACTCTATTTGCTCAAGGAGAGAAGTTTTAGTGAATTCTTAAGGTGAAACAGGCTCATAAACTGATACAGCCATATAATTTTGTGTAACTATATAAATTACAATCAGAAATATGTACTGGGATCAACATAGTAACTTTTCTGTCTATGTTAAGGTGGAAGGCACAGAGATGAGCTGCTTAACTCTTCTCTTTCACAGATATTACGGACTTTGACAAAACCATTGTTGAAGCAGGACCTCATCTGTAGAATTTCTAGTGAATCAGAGGCCAAGGACAGCAAAGTAGTCTGCAAATAGAATGCTTTGTTTCCACTGAAGCTCACTCTCTAAAGCAAAGCTTTTAGTAAATATGACTGTGTCGTCTTTGTGGATGAATGTTGTAATGCCTTTGAGTATCTCTCTCTTATCTATTAAATGTTCTAACCAGCTATCTAGCAGCATTTTATTATTCTAATATTTTGCAAAATTCATAGCATATATCAACGAAAGCACTGACTCTATATGTAATTCCAAACAGCCCGTCACATGGCTCTTTCCCTCTCACACTTCCTCCTGTTCTCTGATGGAGTTAGAGCTTATTTCTTTGGCTCTGAAGGGCTCTAAAAGTCTTCTTCTTCCTCAACCTCTCTAATTCCCGTCACGCTTATAAAGATGCTACCTATAGAGGCTAGATTTTATTTTGATAAGCTATACCCTAGCAGACAATCTCAACTCTCACGTACTCACCTACTCAGAGAAGAATGTATTCAAGTCTACATCTCCTGTAGGGCCAACTTGGGATCTTGTCAGGATGGGCGGGACCAAATGCAAATAGTTGCACTAATGGTTTTACTAAAAGTATTTAAGGCATCCCAGACAGCACTTGGGGAGTCAGCAAGGAATTAAAGATGAACAGCATTCACAGCTCTTAATCAGAAGCTCTTTCTATGAGAAAAAAAGAAGAAATTTAAAAAATGTTCCTGCATTACCTACAGTGTTGTTAATGTAACTTTCTATTTACATAATATGTAAAAAGGGCTGTCTGCAAACTGCAGTAATCTATATGGAATGAGGACAAAAGATACTGATTTCTCTAAAACGTTCTTGTTAAGGAATAATCAAGAAGTTAGAACCTCTAATCTTGCAGTCAAAGCAGAAGTTTGGGGACTTTTTTCCTCTCTTTTTTTTCATTTTTGCTCATGTATATATATATTCACATGCACAGACGAGTACAGACAGATTTACAGATATCAAATATATCATATTTAACATTCAGGAACTAAATTAAACTTCAAAGAAAAAGTTAAAGTTCCTGGTGAAAGAAACATTTATTCATTTTTGATACAACCTTAAACACTTTTAGGCATTTTCTCTAAAATGTCTGAAGAAAAGTTAAAGATGTGTGCATATGTGTTCATATATGTAGAGAGAGAGAGAGAGAGGGAGCGGGGAAGGGAGAGGGCACAAGAGCACACAGAGGGGGAGATGGGAAGGGGAGGGCGGAAAGAAAGAAGGGAGAAAAAGAGAGAGAAGATAGATTGCATTCAACTGGGATGGGATGGTTTGGTATAAAATAGACCAGAATGAAAAGGAAAGCAATGCAGAGAGGTAGGGAAAATGAAAAGTTACGAGGAGTGGAAGGAAAATAAAAGGTTCTTTTTTGACTGTGGATCCCTTAACTTTCCATTCTTTAATCGGTATGGGGTATATTTTACCAAAAACACAGCCTCCAGAAGCTCTTGGAGAAAGAAACCGCAGAAGTAGGACTAAGAAAATGGCCAACCGCTTGTTGGTTCTATCTTCAGCTGCTGTCAAGTCACGGGAGACGCTGGTTGATATCAACTGACAAGAGAAAACATATAAAGAAAATTATTTCTAAGACAACAGCAACCCAGCAAGAGAGGAATAAATGAAAATGCAACATCGAGAATGGTAACTAAATGTACCTAGAATGTAACTAAACAGCCCATGAGCACACAATTTGGTTGAGACTGCTTTGTGAACTCTTAATGTCCAAGCCTTCAAGTCTAGCATGATGAATAAAACCAAATGAAAAAGAGAGGGGTGCATGACATTTCAAGTCATCAAAAAGTTTTAGTCTGATAAATGCATACTTAGGAATACAGTTGCTTCACTTGAAGTTCCTCAGATATACCAACTACCCCACTTGATAAATTTTACCATCCAGTACGATGGTGAGTTTTAAAATTTACATTAGTCTGAGATTATTATTCAAGTGTTCCATAGAGAAGTGACAGAGATATAAATTTCCTTATCCAAAGACCCAAGTTTGAATTCTAGATCTTTTGGAGTAGTTGTGTGTCCTTCTTCAACTCTTAAATCACTCTACATTTCCATTTTGTTTCTTTTATGAAATAAGAGTGATCACACAATATAGACCTCCATGGAGATTTCTTAGAGGTCAATAAAATCATATTTGTAAAAAATGTTTGTCAGCTGGGACCAGTACTTTTACAGGGCCATTTTGAGATATCTTTGACTTAGTCTGATAACTAATAGAAGCGTCATGAAAAATTTTTCATTTCAAAATTTTTGGTCTCAGTGAGGCTGTTGGAAAGAATTCTCCTTCCAAAAAGAAGTGGGGCTTCACCTGAAGACCTTCCTCAGGTTTTGTCATGGAAAAGCACAGCCACCAACAACTAGTTAGATTTCTACAGCTCAGTGCTCTTCTCACTCAATAATCTCAAAGGCCAACATTAAAAAGCCTGCCTTAATATGAGCATTTTATATGAATGGATGCTGTTCTTAGCACACCACATTCATATTTCATCTAATCTTATTGAAAAGCCTATACAGAAGGAAATTGAGGCTTAAATCAGTTATTTGTCTAAGATCACACAATTAGAGACCAGAGAAGGCATAATTAGCAGCTGATATCTAAAGTCCACGTTGTTATCCCCTTATCACAACACTGAGTTCATTTTTACCCTACCCCTACTCGTTAATCCTATTAAAAGCTTTGCTAGAAAATAAAAAGGCTTTTTGAGAAATAGACTAGAAGAGAGAAACAGTATATAGTGAGAATAAAGGAAATTAAAGAATATATGTTTACTAACTATTGGTCCTGCCTCGTTATTGGCTTTTTCAAGGTTCCTAAAACCCACAGAAGTGAATGGTCTACCAGCTTTTCTAAGAATATTATTTCCCTCTTAATGCAGAGACAAAAGCAGCTCAGCTGAACCCAGTAGAAGTACCTGGATGCAATTCATATAAATACAAAACTGTGTAGTTTTATCCAACTATAAGATTGTCTTACTTTTAATGTTTCTATACTGTCAGTGTTGAGTGCTTTCTGCCTTGCTCTTTATTTCTCACATGAAGCTCTATTTGTAAGTATGTGTAAGGGGCCCAGGAAAGGGAAGAACATTGTGAGGACAGTGAATAAAACTGTGTGTAAAACTTATGTGTGTGAGTATCATTGAGCTAAAGGAACACTGTTTGTCGAACATCAGAATACTCATTGCTCCTCCACGCCGATTTCATGCTCAGTCCTCAGCTTTTGTCAACATAATTACAAGAAAGCACAAGAAAAGAAGACGGCTCTGTCTTCCTTATAGAGTGGATGCAGGACATTACTGGTCTTGTCCTCTCTAACCTGTGCTAAGTCCCACAGTCATTAGAATTTAATGCTCCCCCCAACTGATTCCCCTAAAAGATTAGTCCGTTTTCCACTAATACAAGAGACAGACCAGCCACCATGCTTTCTAGATGCAGAAATAGAGAGTTCAGCCAGCTTTGCTGCTTCGTGACAACTGCATTGTATTTATGTCCAGTTTAATCATTTCTCTCTTCTCACCTCAGGACTGTTGCTGTCTTTTGTTTTTCTTCTACTCACTGTGTGTGCGTGCGCTTGTGTTTGTGTGTGTGTGTGTGTGTGTGTGTGTGCATGAGCGCATGTATTCTTTCTGTGCCTCCAAATCACATTAAAAAAGAAGCACTACATAAAGCATTTAGTAGTAAACTACAGTAGTTATATGTTTAGAGATGGAACAAAGAATGAATCTACTAAAGGAGAAATACAGCTTCAAATGTACGTTTTATATATTAGCCCAACAAAACATGTTACATTATGCTTTGGATAAAAGAAAAGAGAAAAATACAAAGAATTGGAAAAATATGCCCCACTCTGACACATTTAGTAGGGTAATGTATGGAGAGTCACAGGAACTCTGCATTTATATGAGTTTCAGTCAAATAGCTCAATTGAACACTTCAATTACTTAAATCCATTTTTGAAATTCAATAACTGTAAAATGATGGCCCTATCAATAGGCTAGCCAAGGATTAGGATTAATTTGCAAGGTTCTGAGAGAAGTTTAAGTCAGGAAAGCTAGAATAAAATAGGTGAAATGTTGAGAACATTCATCAGAGAAGGCTTGGGTAAGATTTCTCAAGATCGATGAGAAAAAATTTGTAAACAAATTCTGGAGGAATTTGAGTTTTGACAAAGTTGGAGATGCAATCTGTCCTATGGGTAATTCCAAGGAAGAGGTAGAGACAAAGCCTTCCAACATTTATCTAGTGGGTGGCACTGTGGGTTGGGTTCTGTGCCACTTTAAGGCATTGTAGTCAACCAGACAGCTGGAGTCTGAATCATGATAAAGGGTGCACAAGAAAGGCGTAGAGATACACGGCATGTGCCAAGGCTGTGGAGGATAAGCAAAGGAGATTTTCTGATATATGCAAACTGATTTTTCAAGATCTGGAAAGTAACAGGATCCTGAGACATTATCTAATTTTCTTGTTTGAGTTAGGAAATCATAGAAGGTTTCCCCCATGAGATGCGAGACAGTAACTAGAGAGCATGCAGTTTGTCATCTAAATACAAAGCCACCTGGGAGTACAGCACGGAATTGACACTGACTCAGGATAGTATTGGGCTAGGAGGCTTTCCTCCAGGCAATTCTTTGGTTAGTTAGCCCAATCTATCCACATGGTACAAGCTTGCCATTCTACAAGAGGAAGAAGTCCCGTGTTCTACATAGGGCTTGTGCCACATTCTTGCTGTTCCCTATGCTCAACTCAGCCCTTATTCTGTGCAGCTGTGGTGTACAGCTCTGTCCATGCCAATGTCATCCCATCCAAACAGACAAGTCAGGATCTCCCTGCTCTTCTTTCCTAGAAGTTTGCCTAAAACCAAAAATTGTTCTCAGAAAGTCTCCAGAAGCTTCCCTGAGAATGAGAGGAGTTGATACCACCACAAAGTCCCTCAGCCAATGAGAGATAGATGTTGCTGGATGCTTTCTCAGATGTCCAGTCTTTAGAGGAACAATTCTGATGAACTTTCTACACAGTTCTTGACATGTCTCCACCTGGACGGAGCTCCACTTACTCACAATAATAACCAGTTCAGTAATGTATGGTTATTTCTTATCCTAATTATTCATCTCACTTCTTCTATTCCCTCATCACTGCTTCCTGGGATTAGTCTCCCAAATAAAAAATGTGTGTATGATTCTTTTGGCCTTTTCTTTTAAGGGAGCCCAAACTGAGGCAGAGCTCAAGGTATTTCTCAAATTTTGCCTCCTTCTCACTGCCCCCCCCCATCTGCTTTGGCTCTAAGTTTTTCCTAACATCTGACCTCTTGGTTTGAATCTGAACAGTGACCATTTGCATTTCTTCCTCTTGTTCTTCACATCAGCTGGATCATGGTTTCTTCTTTGGGTTCCAAATTACTTTACTCCTTGCCTCCATGTTTCTGAGTAGTGAATGTTTTAATTCTGAAAATTCCCAAAGCTACCTCCCCTCCTTTTAAGCCTAATAGAAGTATATTTAACCCTCAATACTAAAAATCTCCCTTCATTCAGATGAAGTAGCAACTATAGTTCTTTCAATTATTGGCTGTTGGTTTTAAGACTTGTGTGGATCACGTCAATGACAAAAGTTTAACAGTTGCTTTGTTCTGAGATGCTAACTCTTAACGGTGGAGGCAAGACAGGTGTAACTCATAGGTTATCACCTGAATGAGGAATGTTTTTCTTTGTACTAGAAAACACAAGTTGGGATTATATCCCCAAATGATAAGAAAGCCTTTCATACATGTGGTAAGTCTGTAGAGTGCAATAAACTGGAAAGCAAAGAAATGAAAGAATGATAAGTTTTACATTTACTGATTGGGTTTCTATTTACATTTTTATTTTTGACTCCAGTGATAGGAATATATTTGTTTGAACTATGTTGCTCTTCCTTCATTAGCCTCTCAAGTAACTACTGTTATCAATAAGATGTTGGAACTTCTAAAGTAAAAGAAAATCATCATAATAATAGCTAATGAGTTGAAATAATATTTTCACTTATCAATCAATATTTTCTCCCAAAATAGCTTCCAAAACACTGATGCACATTGTCCAGAGAGCACGGTTGCTACTGTGAAAGTGTAAACAGCAACTGACAATGTTAATATCGTAATCTTCTAAAAAGATTTAATTTCAAGGAAAACAAATAACGGCTTTGAGAAAATTAGTTCTTTTGCGTGGCAGGATCCCATATCTTTTGACCATCAGGTTCTAAGACCCTCACTTAAATTAGAGATTACTGAAGAACACATGATTGGTCAGAATAAGCTATTAGTATCGGCCAAAAAGTTGTGTTTATCAGGTTAAATTTGACAATGAAATTTCTACTTTATATGCCCACTTCAGAAACTGTTTTACTTGGAAACTATTACCTGCTTTTTTCAAAAAGCAATGCCACCTTAACCTTATGGGGAAATAAAAGACTTAGATTCCAAGTGATATAGGTGGATAAAACAGCTGCATATATTTTTATGTA